TTGCGACAGGTGTTCCGAGGCGACGAGAGCATTGTGACCACTCCCCGCAAATGCGCATCTCTCGTGTACCACCGCGATTTGGTTAGCTTTGCTGGTGATAAGCAAATCGACAAGTCTTCGTTGAGAATGTGTGACAGGATCATCGGCAAGGGCTGGTTAGGTGAAGTTGCCTTGGCCAAATACACGGTGAGTTGTCTATGTCTGCAATGGACTAGCATTTCAGGTATCTCAAGAACCAATCAACAAATAACGTCGTTTAGTTTACAAACAAATTCCGAGTTTCTGTAATCGGGAGTATTTTGAAGCTGCCCAGTGAGCTGTTGGACGTGAATAAATGGCCGTTGAAATAAGCACGAATAAAACCCTGAGATATGACTAGCAGTACGAATAACAGCTTACCTGTTACATTTGTTGTTGCACGGCATCATTGAGACGAGTAGGAGCACGAGAACGATGGCACTGTGCTGTCGAAATGTCCATGTTTTGGATTGGTATTCCACCATTCAGTAATGCCTCTAAACAAATTTGTCTGGAGTTCCTTAACATCGTTTCCACGGGCACGTATAACGTGGCCGTGTTGTGAAATCCGTTTGATTTGGTATTAGCAAAGTGGTCTTGAGAGAGATAGCTGCTTAGATGACAGATTGGTGAAATGCTGCCTAGTCACGTAAAAGCGTTTCCCGGTGTATCGCATGGCATGGGCCAACTGAGAGCACATGTTCATCAGTCGTCGTTTCTGCAGCTACAAGTGTGGCGTTTGCGTGTGTGCGACTGTGAGACGCCAAGGCTTATCTGAACGTGGGTACTCAAAATGCCCAAGCAATCTGATGCATTGCATGACGACGAAGCCACTTCAGAGTAAGCAGTAGTGACACGTGGACAAATAGCTGATTGCGTATTTGAGGAATCCAAGTTGCTGAATTTTACATTGAGAGCTGGAACTAATACCCACTTCCATGAATGCTCGTTCCTTGTGATTTTCAGAATCCCAGTGGTGTAACGTCGAAAGTGGCAATCAAACGCGTATCCCAGACTTCCCCTCATGCCCTGATTGGTGCGATGGAGGTAGCCGTGATGTCCGAGTTCGCAAAGAATCCTAACGACAAACTCGTCAATTTGGTTGGTTGGTATTTTGATACGGACGCTCTGCGCATTGTGACAGAATACATGCCTGGTGGTAATCTAGCAGACTACCTGGCAGGACTGCGCAACTCCAAAGACCACGCCCAGTTGATTGAATTTCGCGAATTCGCCATACAAATTGCGTCTGGAATGCGAGTTCTCGAGGAGAGAGAAATTCAACACAGAGACCTGGCTGCGCGCAACATCCTCATTGATGCCAATAGGCGACTGAAGGTAGGTGGGTGTGTGTTTGTTTTCTGAAGCCAGTACAATCATATCAAAATTTGTCATTAGGTAGAACTACCTACATACAAATAAACGAGAGCAGAATTTCATTTGATAAAATAATTTACGATTTGCATGGACATAGTCACAGACATTAAAACCATTTACCAAAATAGATGTGACACCTTAACACGCTCTACTTGCATGCAAAGTTGTGAAATGCACACAAGAGTGGTCCATCGTGGTGTTCCTGATGAGCCACGAAATTTCGCATTACGAGAAGAAACATACGCCAATCTCCAGGGCCAAGTGAGTCAAGAATCTGCGTGATGAATTTGAGCTTCACATTGATGAGGTATTCATGAAAGTCCTGTATGGAGATAAACCGGTTTTATTCTTGTCTCAGATCGCCGACTTCGAACTCAGTCGTCCACAGGGCTCGCATTTCATGACTGGCGTCATTGACTACAAGTGGGTTGCCATGGAGGTGATTGAGGATGAAAGCAAGTACACCATCTCCTCCGACGTTTGGTCGTATGGCGTGGTGTTGTGGGAGATCTACAGTGTGGGTTTCACGCCGTTCAATGATATCGAAGATGCGCAAATGCTGGAGCACTTGAAGGCAGGACATCGTCTTGAGCGACCACTTGATACTCCAGAGGATATGTACTCAATGATGACGGAGTGCTGGAAGGAGGAGCCGTCGGATCGGCCTACTTTCAGTGTCATCTGCGATCGATTGACTGGTCGTGTCCACACGCCAAATCGCCCACCTCCTCCGCTGCCTCAGCCATCTGTTTACGAAAGTACGACAAAAGCACCAATATTTCTTTGTCCGTTTATGAGTGCCCATATTATTTGGCTCCAGATCCTTTCCCGCAAATGATTTTCTCTACTTAAAGTGTCACTCGTTTTGTTCATGCTGCAATTTTCAGCGAAATGTATGAATTCACATGCAGACTGTTGGAGCAGTTTCTTCCTCGTGATGTGAATCAAATGCCAATGAATTATTCCAATTACAACCTCATCCAAATAAGGCTTATTTCATTTCATTGTAGATCGCTCCAGTCGTCATGGCTACGATGTGATGAAGTCAAGCGAAGGTGAGCAACTTTATGTTGGTTTGGGGCATTTCCAAATGGGAATATTAATATTCTAATCATGGGATAGTCGTTGTTTGAGGAAACGGTATTCAGTTTCATTGGCTCTTTACCGTACACAGACCTTACGCCCACTATTGTGGTGGTGGTGATGGTGTTGATGGTGGTGGCGGTGTCTGAGTGGTCATATGGATAGAACGAGTGGTGGTGGTACACACGGAGGGGTGAATGAGCAAGCGGTCCTAGTGACTGAGGGGCACGCAGTGAAAAGTGTTACGTATATGTGAGGCTAACGCGACTGGGTTATTGGGCGTGAATCAACACGATTCACTGGAGGTGTTTTGCCATAATGAAGCACCCAACCCTGTGATTCGCACACAAGTGGACCACTGAACATCATGCCACTAAATGCTACTGTCCGTAATGTAAATCAATTACCTTTTTGTAAGATTTCGTCTCCCTGATGTATTCCGGAGTGTGGCTGCACTGCGTGAATGAGGCGTCATATTTGCTACCCCCTAGTGTGAAACTTGAAAATAACTTGCTAATTACTGATTTTAAAGGTGCCAAAACTACACTGCCGTAACGGCCCGATCTGACACCAAGTGCCTCCTCCTTCTTCTTCTTCTCCTCCTCCTCCTCCTCCTCGTCCTCATCCACCCGCCCCTGCCTCCGCAACCACGACGGGTCGCATTCGTGGCTCTAGGTGCATCATTTTGTAGATTAGTTATAATGATTACTTAGATTAAAAAAATAATTAGCATTTTTGTGTTTTGATTTCGAAATTCCAACTTGATTCCTTTTGCTACCTTGTTTATTTGAGTAGATGAACTGACCACCGTAAATTTTGAGTGAACGTCTATTAAGTGCGCTGTGGTGATTGTCGTGTGGTGGACAAGAAGTTACCCTGCATGAGTGATGCGTTTATGCTGGCCCGACTGCACCAATGACTTACCCTT